TTTTTACATTTTATTGTTCATCTATGTCAAAGCTGTTGAAATAAAATGCTTTTGTAATTACCTGTGGACTTTTTATTGGTTTTAATCACGTTTAATCCAGCCCATTGAAATACAATGTTAGAATCTTCAATTTACTCCCGCAGTCAATAACTTGCCGCGTTTTCGTTGGCTAACTCTAAGGTAATTTTATGTGAACAAGTAGCTCATAATAATTTCACAGAGGAAGTCCAAGTATACAATGTATCAATCCTATGTTCACATAAAATAAGGTAGAGTTAGCCAACGAAAATGCGGCAAGTTATTGACTGCGGGTACATTGTAAATTTCACATTGTATTTCAATGGGCTGGATTAAACGTGATTAAAGCTAATAAAAAGACCACAGGTAATTACAAAAACATTTTATTTCAACAGTTTTGACATAGGTGAAATAGACAATGTAAAAAACTGTTTGAAAAATGAAAGTTTCAGGAAGTTACAGGGTGGGGGGGTATACTACAAAAGTACCGAGAGTACTGACCGACCCATTTCCACACTGGCCTGATGAAATTTTGCATCTTGTACACCCATGGATGTGTCTTTTTATCAGCTAGCACATGCTCCAGGAAGTAAAATTTCCCTCCCTGGAAAGATAAATAGCAAAGGACACTGTTTACAATTCAGTACTGCATTATATATTATATTAACCATTTCTAAGTTCTGGTTATGCTTGGCTGTCACTTGATAGGTTTATATAAACCAAAAAACCACAGGAAACAACTACAGTAATTTTTAACATATTAAAAACTGATAACTGATTTGGATGAGGTTTTTAGCAATATAGTGGATTAGTACATATGGTATTCTAAAGCCGTTTTCTGGATGTCATTTGGAGTAAAAAATAAATGATAATTTAATTTAGCGTAACCTGAAAAGCTCTATTGTCAAGTAAATTAAAAATAAAATGGTTAAAACAGGATAAAGGTGCAACTGCAGAACCAGTGGGACACATAAGGCATCTGCACTCCTTTCAACTTCGGTGGTTTTCCCTTCTCTCTCTCTCCTCCCCCCCCCTCCCCCCACGACATTCAAGGCAATTATAGGTACAGTATATAAGAGCGAACTGCTATATGTCGAATTTAAAGAAATACTTACTGGGCGTAAAACTCTTTTTATCTCCTTCAACACTTCTTCTATATCTTCTACGCTACATAAGACGAAGGTACACACTATTGCATCAGCACTGTTATCATGAAACCCGTGTAATTTCTCTGCCGTTCCTACCACAAAACCCTTCAAATTCACGTGAGGGTATTTGGAGTGGTTATCCTTTAAGTACTTCTCAAAATGTGGGTTTGGATCGATGCAGATAAGGTTTGATCCAGGAGGATAATATTCAAAATTCGTGCCCCCTCCGACTCCGATTTCTAGGATATCCAGCGGTCGCCCGTCAACATGTAATTTCGCCAGTGATGAAAATAATCTCTCCTTTTTCCTGTATGCTTTTTTCGCCATGTGAAACCCCAGTCGGTTTAAGAGCCAAGCATAGGCAGCCTTATAAGGACTGTAAATATAACTATTGATATAGTTTAAAATAATAATCACAAGTATCCAGGGTAACACGTAATTCCAAATGAAGGCAGAAACTGTGGCGTCCACCTCCGCCATGTTGAGTTAAACTAGGTCAAGTGAGGCCAATCTATTTATAGATTCAAACAGCAGCCACATCGAGACTCTGTTAGTTGAGAAGTAATTAGTTGAGATTATTTTCTAAAACACAATCAAGGGGAGGTTTCACAAAAAATAAATAATGAAAAATAATAATAAAAAAAGGAAAGGAAAAAAAAAATAGCTCCGAAAATTAATCCAAAACTTTTGGATCAAAGATTTGGTCTACCTTGGTTAAAGATAAATCCATGTAGTTGTCCACTTAAATGAAATACAGGCACCTTTATATATTGGTCTGAAATATACCAATACAATACTGATAGATAGATTAGACATTCCGCTTGTTTTGTGACATCATAGTTTTGTATAAAACAAGCGTAACACTTAATTTAAGTATTTGTTGGTTAGGCCACACTTTTTTATTTTTATGGATGACATCCTGCGCGCACCGATTTTCGTCCATTCTCCAAAAAAAAAAAAAAAAAAAAAAAAAAAAAATTCCCCCCCCCCCCAATTATCGCCCGGAAANTTTTGTCAATGTTGACATATCAACTGGATCTCAACATTGGGTCAACCTTAACTTTATAACGTTACCTTAATCATAACCTTGATAATAGTTTTAAATGATTATCTCACTAGAGAGGTATGCATAGGGGTAATTACCCCTCATAAAACGCTTGTTTTACCCCTTTTTCATTAAAATTACTTTTGTGAAAAAAGCAGTCGACCGTCAGTTTTTTTTAAACTTTCCAGATTTGATGTTCAGGTTATCTTTTAGAAAAAGAAAAAACATAGGGTCACCAGCCTTACTTTATGGCAAATTGACAAAATTTTACTCAAGGTTGATGAAAAAACTTGAAAAAACCAAAAATGCCTGATTTTCTGGAAATTTAAGTTAGGCCACACTTTTTTATTTTTATGGATGACATCCTCCGCGCGCACCGATTTTCGTCCGTTCTCCAAAAAAAAAAAAAAAAAAAAAAAAAAAAAATTCCCCCCCCCCCCAATTATCGCCCGGAAAATTTCAGTGACATTCTGTCCAAAGCAGCACATACTAGGTTTTTTGTAGCGAAAAAAGGGTCGACAAGGGCGTCGAGGTATTTGGTGGGCTGTAGGTCGGTCAGGCCACCCGACAGTTTGGCTGCTTCGTGTGAGTCGAAGTAGACCAAATGGCATCAACTGAAATGACCTTTTGTAGATTTGGTAGTATTAAGCATATCTTTGCATCATTTTGTAACATTTCTGTGTAGTGTTCATAATGCTTTAATATTCTGAGAGTACAAATAAAGACATGCTGTTTGTTTGATATTTGTTTTATTGATTGTTATACCAACAAAATGCATGAAATAACCTTAAATAGATTGAGTAATATGCAGCATGTCTATCAGGCCCGTAGCCAGCAATTTCAAAAGGGGGGTTCTTTTTTTGAAAAAGTGGACCATTTTCCATAAAAATCTTAATGTATCTAGATCAAATTTTACCCAGAGTGGACCTTTTCCCAGCAAAAGGGGTGGTTCTTCCGAACCCCCTNGAATAAACTGTAAAAAAAAGCACTGCAATTTTGTCAAATAAAATATGTAAAACTGACAATGAAAAATCAAAGGTATAGTGAGTGAACTATTGGGACAAAACATTTATTTTTAATTCTGTGAAAAAATTTTTTGCCTAATGTCAATTTCATATCACCCCGAGGTTCATAGATAACATCTGAGGCATGCTGAGGCTATAAATGAGAGTCCAGTTATCTGATATACAGGGCAGCTTCAACCTATTAATTTACTGAAAAATCTTTTTCCAAATTTCATAATTCTTTTTTTTTTTTAATTTTTGCAGTCTTAACAAGAACTAATCACCACCAATTACCATAATAAAAATCTCATAGTATTTGTTTTTGAAAAAGCAATGTAAGTTTTGAACATAGCACATTTAAGTTATGTTAAAAAATCCCTAATATCAATATTGAAATTTATTTTGTTTTGAGACACTAAATTCACCCATTATACCTTTAACAGACTTGGCTAACAAGTGTCTGTTGGTTTCCTTTCCCATAAAAATCGAGTTTAAGACGTATTTTTAATATCCTTGACCCCTTAATACTAATTCAAAACAACTTGACTAGAATCGATAAAAATGAAAATTGTTGGCACTGCTATCAGTTCTACTCAATACTGTTAATTGTGTGACAGACTAAAATTTAATTTAATTAAATGAGACTTAGGTTTCTATAATAATCGAATACAGTAAAATTAAAATGCAAAAAATTGTGACTGCTCATGAAATAACCTGCCCTTCCCCCTGACAAAAAAAAATATATATTGTGACATTGTGTGGTGGGCAGGGGCAATATTTTTGTATAATTTTCAGCATACAACTTAAGTGGAATCACATATTTTATCTGCATTTATCATGCTGACATCAATCAATGCACTCAGTGACATTCATTTCCAACCAGTGTAATATTACAGTCTATTTTTTTATTGCAGCAGTTGCTACAACACATTCTCAGCTTTTCTCAACTACAGCATTCAGGTCTTTGTTAAGGTCTCACTAGAGGGCAATGGAAGACCCCCCCCCATTAAAAAAAGGAGGTATTCTCCTACCCCCTTGAAAAAATAATGTAACAGGCTAAATGAGACAAGAAAATATTTTCCCTTTCGGTACCTTACACATTACAGTAAAATTTATCTACTCTACTGTAAGTAATTTTGTTTTTACCTCATTTCACTTACCAAAAAAGGTTCCCCTCCCACTTCTCACCCCCCTCAAGAAAATTCCTGGCTCTGATAGTGAAAACTTTCCGATTAGCAAGCAAGCTGTCTCTTTCTTTCTCTCTCTTTTCTTCTCTTTCTCTCTCTCTCTCACACACATACAAACACACACACACACACACACACATACATACACACACACACACACACACACAGTAAATACTACAGCATTCACATCCATCTCATGTATAACACATTTCCAATTTGGAATTCACCTTTTTAAAATGTAAAGAATTGGAGATAACTTATATTGTGTAGATTAGATAAAAATGCATAACTATTAAATATTTTCATAATAATTTGAGCACAATAAAATATTCACAACCAGACAGTCATACAGTTAAACTGATTTTTAAATAACACTACATTGCAGCTTAAATTAAATTAAATTAAGTTAAATTAAATTAAGGACATTGAATTAAAACACTATAAACTCAGAAAAATCCTGTTAAATTTTTCCAAGTCCATAAAAACTTTTTTCTATAAAAATCTACCAAATACGAACACCCTGATGCAGCGTCCATCCTAGCACAAGAAAGGACGCCTTACTTGGTGGCAGTCCCCATCAGCATTGGTTGAATTAGTTTAAATTTGATAGCAGAGTTGAAGTGCTCTTGGTCAACATGTGAGAAGCCAGCCTTTTCAATATGAAGTGCTGTGTCTTGAAATTCACACCCATCACCTGAAAAAATAATAATAATACCATAAAGTATGAGCTTTACCTACTTGTGATTATATTCAATCTACCTGTAGTAAAGATCTACATAGATTTGCCATACATTTTCCTCACAAGTGACTAAATTACATATAAAATTGTAAGAAATGGTAATTAATATACAACACAGACAGTCTTATTGGTTTATAACAGAAGGCATTTCATATATTTGTCTATCATATAATTTTTAAAGAATAAATAAATCAAAATAGAAATTTCTCTTTCGGAAATATTTTAAATTATCAGCCATACATTCCAGGGGCGGATCCAGAGATATTTTCTGACAGTCTTCCAAATTATTTTTGTTAATCCATCCTCCATTTTTGACCGTCTTCCGACAGAAAATATTAGATACCCGTCAATGTAAACTTTAAAATCTGACCGTCTTCCGGAAGACCCAGAAGACGGCCTAAATCCGCCCCTGCATTCTATAAATGAAATAGAACTTCTGCATCAGTGACAATAAAAAACACAGAAGAAAAGAATACATTCATTTGATAAGATTCTTCAAACTTTTTCTCGTCTTGGTCTTGGAACAATTGGTTTACATAAATATGCTGCAAGAAAGAGAATGAGATTATTATATTTCAGTTTCCCATAAATTCAGTATGCCTCTCCATTTTGTTGGCCATATTTCCTCTGCCTTAGAGGCTCCTCCAAAATGATGACAATAATAATAACAAAAGTAATAATATCAATAGTAATAATAATAATAATCATTATTATTATTTATTCTTATATGGCATATTTCATTAAAATCTCAATGCACCTTACAAATCAAGAACTATAGATTACAAACTTCTGATTAAGTATAAAAGGAATTATAATTAAGATCAATTAAAATTTAGTTATCAATTATAAGTTAAATCAATTATAATTAATATCAATCAAAGGATGAAAAATTTAAAATAATAAAACTTAACAATAACAATAAGTAAAAAGTGGTTTAAAAATGCAAGTCTTCAAAAGTGTCTTTGAATTTTCCAACTCATTTGCTGCAGTTCTTCTATCATATACAAAGTAAATTATATAACATTGGTGCATATATTATAAATGCAAGTTTGCTATTAAAAAGTGTTATTTTATATTTCTTTTAAAGAGAAGTGTTCCAAAAGGAAATGCACCATAGTCCCATATGGCAAAGACTGAGTATGTGTGTTGTATTTTGTCTTTGGATATCATTGTATACTGAGCTACAACTAAGCATCCGGTATAGTTTTTGTTGCCTTCCACCCTAGAAATTGTGTTAATTGGGGACCCTTCATGGTTGGCTTATTCAAAAACCCCATGGAACAAGCAAGCGTATGGTCTGCACCCTCTTGTGGAAGAGATTTTTTAATCTCTCTTCTATTCACCAAGCTCCTGGTAGATTGGAGTGCCAACAACCCAACCCTCGCAAGCTCCAAAAGCGCTGGTGATTCCTTTACATGTGGAATAGTTGTACCAGCTCAAGAGGGAGCCTCCTTGCTGCTGTTACCAAGACTTCTCCCTGATTTATGAAAATCAGAAACTTAGGATATTTTCAAATCAAGCAGTACAGTTTTCCCTAATGCTCCAGTTTGTGAGACTGACAGTGTAATTTGCCTGGGTATAACATAAAGGTGTCACCTAAACAAAGTCCCTGTATATATGCTTGACATAGCCAGTTAGAGCACATTTAGAACTGTTGAACAGAGGACTAATAGATCCACGGATCAAATATGGCCGATCCACTTGAATGCTTGTTGCGTTATCTCCGTGGGGAATCTATTTGGTGTCAAATTGGAAATTAAGAGGCAAGCTTTTTAGTAGGTCGCCATATTTGATCAACGGATCTGTTAGTCCACTGTTCTGAATGTGCTTATAAATGGATTAATTTTGAATGAGTCCACTAGGGCTTGAGAAAAGACTAAAATTCCAGCCTAAATGAAGCCCGTATATGCTGGAACAATTCAAACTGGTGCTGTACAAAGAAGCTGTACTGCCCTTTGTGAAAATTTAGTTCCTAAAATGGAATAAAAATGGCAAATAAAATAAAATAAAATAAATAAAAAAGCAAATACCTTGGTTGGTCACATCATGCTAATCTTGTCTCACTCAACTGTATTTCATAAATCACAGCCACTCACCTCTTCAAACATTCTAAAGATCCTCTGCACCAAAACTGATAACAGTATCACCACCTTCAGACCTAACCTGACTGACAATAACATCAAATCTTGATGAAAAAAAAAAATTTCTGTGCAAGAGAGTACTTACCGACCCATTTCCACACTGGTCTGATGAAATTTTGCATTTTGTACACCCATGGATGTGTGTTTTTATCAGCTAACACATGCTCCAGGAAGTAAAATTTCCCTCCCTGGAAAGATAAATAGCAAAGGACACTGTTTACAATTCAGTACTGCATTATATATTATATTAACCATTTCTAAGTTCTGGTTATGCTTGGCTATCATTTGATAGGTTTATACAAACCTAAAAACCACAAGAACAACTTAAGTAATTTTTTAGCATATTAACTGATTGGGATCATGTTTTTAGCAATTTATAGATTAGAACATATAGTATAGTATTCCAAAGCCATTTTCTGGATGTCATCTGATTATTTAATTTAGCGTAACCTGAAAAGCTCTATTGTCAAGTAAAATAAAAATAAAATGGTTAAAACAGGATAAAGGTGCAACTACAGAACCAGTGGGACACATAAGGCATCTGCACTCATTTTAACTTCGGTGGTTTCCCCTTCTCTCTCTCTCTCTCTCTCCTCTCCTCTCCTCCCTCCCTCCTCCCCCCCCCCCCCCCACGACATTCAAGGCAATTATACTTGTAGGAGCGAACTGATATATGTCGAATTTAAAGAAATACTCACTGGGCGTAAAACCCTTTTTATCTCCTTCAACACTTCTTCTATATCTTCTACGCTACATAAGACGAATGTACACACTATTGCATCTGCACTGTTATCATGAAACCCGTGTAATTTCTCTGCCGTTCCCACCACAAAACCCTTCAAATTCACGTGAGGGTATTTGGAGTGGTTATCCTTTAAGTACTTCTCAAAATGTGGGTTTGGATCGATGCAGATAAGGTTTGATCCAGGAGGATAATATTCAAAATTCGTGCCCCCTCCGACTCCGATTTCTAGGATATCCAGCGGTCGACCGTCAACATGTAATTTCGCCAGTGATGAAAATAATCTCTCCTTTTTCCTGTATGCTTTTTTCGCCATGTGAAACCCCAGTCGGTTTAAGAGCCAAGCATAGGCAGCCTTATAAGGACTGTAAATATAACTATTGATATAGTTTAAAATTATAATCACAAGTGCCCAGGGTAACACGTAATTCCAAATGAAGGCAGAAACTGTGGCGTCCACCTCCGCCATGTTGAGTTAAACTAGGTCAAATGAGGCCAATCTATTAATAGATTCAAACGGCACCCACATCGAGACTCTGTTAGTTGAGAAGTAATTAGTTGAGATTATTTTCTAAAACACAATCAAGGGGAGGTTTCACAAGAATGATAAAAAAGAATAATAATAAAAGGAAAGGGAAAAAAATAGCTCCGAAACTTAATCCAAAACTTTTGGATCAAAGATTTGGTCTAACATGGTTAAAGATAAATCCATGTAGTTGTCCACTTAAATGAAATACAGGTACCTTTATATATTTGTCTGAAATATACCAATACAATACTGATAGATAAATTAGACATTGCGCTTGTTTTGTGACATCATAATTTTGTATAAAACAAGCGTAACACTTAATTTAAGTATTTGTTGGTTACCACAGATTAATCTCTGGTCAAAATAAACTAAAATTTCGAGCAAAGGTTTAGAGCAAATGCCAATTTTGGACTTTTTGTTAGAAGTTGTGTCCCAGTTCTGGATTAGGTCGAAAAAAAAGGACCGAGGTTCTCAGGAATAACACTTTCCTTTTTGATATATAAGGTCTACATGCAGGCCTACACTATATCCAATTACAGTTATATATATATTTCGGAAATTCAAATTGAAATCACTGTACATGTATAATGTTGATTTTAACCTGATAAGTGTTGTATTGAAAATACTGTGTTGATAAATACATACATGTACATAAATGAATAGGCCTACTAGCACTTTTTTTAAAAAAACGATAGAAAGAAGCCTACAGCTGGATAATTGAAACATTTATATAAGCCTACATGTACATTGTATATATGGAACATATACAGGATACATATCCAGATAATATGTGTTTGCGGTTGACCATCCAAATACACAGCACACAGGGATACAACCTACATCTAATTCCACGTAATGAACTTCATTAAGAACATATCAGAACCAGGACTGTGATTAATGACAGCTATGACGGTGCTGCTGAATATTGTGCAGGGTTACACAAACAGCGTGGTGGTCCCGGTGATATTTATTCTATCACTGTTTTAGAATATGGTGCGAGGAAAACAAACATGCTGCGATACCTGGAGGGACGAACGGGGGAAAAACAGTGAGGTTCAGTGTGTATTTATATGTCATTATGTATGAGCACAACAATAACATCATTTACATCTCTGAAATGATTATAGCAGTTCTTTTGCATGGGACGGCCCGAATTCGGAGGATCCATGTACATATACTGTAGGCCTACATATGTGAATTGACTATCTGTATATTCATGATCACACACACTCGCACTCGTATGTATGTATAAATGAATAAATAAATAAGTAAATAAATAAATAAATAAATAAATAAATAAGCAACATTTTCTCAGACGCGCTTATTTGGCTCCAATATAATGTTAAGTTGCGTAGATTAATAACAAAAAGTTTTAAAATATAACGGAGTAAGATTGGTAAAAATCCTAGATTAAACAAGGACAAGATCTAATATGCTTTATCTGCAGAAAGTGAAAAGGAAAAATAATTTTATGTACTTTATTACATTTCAATAGAAAAATAAATACTTATGTGGTTCTCTTTTGGTTCTCTGTTGCGTTATACAACTCATATACTGACTCACGAACTATTGCATGCTGCTACATTTATAATCGTTTTATCATTTAAAGAAATATTGAAATACAACTCTATCCAAATGAGATTTATATCTGGACTGCTGAGGACGGTTCTCATAATGTCATACAAGGCGAATGTTTTCCACAATTAGTTTATCCAATTTACATGCCCTCGCGTCAGCGCAATTTACAGGGTAATGCAATTTATACACAGCGCGATATTTTCCCTGTCCTTAAGACAATTAAGCCAAATCTTAGCGTCAAAATGAAAATTCGATTGTATTGGTTAGGTTATAGCAATAAGAATGTATATAGCCTCTGCAGTAAAGCGCCAGTATTTCCCTGTGCTTATCTGCATCTATTCGTGTTCTACCGATTTGAACAGTCATGTATTCAGTGATTCAACTAAAATCCACGGACATTTGAACGGCATTGAAAGAGTGAAAGGCATTTATACGCTATTAGCATATAAGGATTAGGAAATCATTGTAGTACCTTATGTCGGTTCGGATAAAGACATTTGTAAATAAACAGCTCGCTGAACAAATAATAAGCGCACTCAGAAAGGTTGATCCCTGGCCCTTCGATTTCTGACAGCCCAGACGCCCGGAAAATTTTCTCTAAATGGTTCACAAGACAAGCGACATGGGAGCATACTCGCACAACAAGAAATGGTCAAGAAATGGTCAGCCGGCAACTGACCGATCTGGTTACAGAAAACAGACTGACAACACGATGTCCAGCCGAGACTTAACACACTCGTGCTGGTCGTAACTAATCCATTTATCGCTCAGAGTACGCGCATGCCTAAAGGAAAACTGTCCGCTTTCGACTAAAATGCGCTGATCAGAAACAGGAGTAGGTTTACTACTACTTTCAGAGACCGGCCAATGATTTTTATAGATGAGAGTAAGTATTCGCGCAGACACTGGGTATTTTGGCTACATCTCCAGATTCGGACTGAGCGCTGGCACATTTGCTCTTATTTTACTACCGTCCTCGTGACGCACGTTGACACCCTAGGATCCTAATTAATACCGTCCAAATAAACGACGACTGACGCACCGCGCCGAGCCTGGAAGGGCGCCGCAGATCGGATCAATAGGTTAAGTGCGGATTACCCATAAGAACGTTCAATACTGAAAAAAGCTGGTCTTATGCAATGTAGTTTGAAAGTTAAATCTGAACATTAACTGACAGTCTCAGACCGGAATCTTAAGAAAAATCAGCGCGTTCCTGCTACCTTCATTGCTTGAACAGTAAGAGAGCAATTTTTCTGTTGTCAAGAAACTATTTCCAGATACTTATGCATAGGAAAAGTCAATTTGATTGATTACCCGGAGCTATTAATACCCTTGACGCGTTTAAAAAAGAACCCACTAAAAAGTAGACAACAGAGCAATCTTGAAGCTTCAAGCGAGGGAGTCACAACAGGGACACGAAGATACTCAGCAGCGTCATCGGATTTTTGTAATCAATCTGCTATACATTTGAACCTAGCGATCTCAGAATAAATCCTTATTAACTCTGCTTTGGACAAGTAGATTAGATGTCGCATGCTGCTTCAGGGGACCCAAGGACACTCGGCTATCTGATTCGTTAATAGTTACCCTCTAAGGCGCCTTTTGGTAATTTTTGAATAGCTCGCCAGGTACTGAGAAGATCTAAGAAGTCTTGGTGATCGATACGACTGAGAGGTCCGCGATACAAGTACGCACAGAAGTCACACGTCCGATAAACTGCCATAACAGAAAACAAGCTATGCTTGTAGTGGACATGGAATTCCGGCACTGCATATCAGTTATACTGCTGTGTTGTAAAGTCAAGATATATCTACAGTAAAAAGGAAAACCGCAATATGAACGCCTTATTTTCCCTATGCATTCATACGGTTATGATATTTATAACAGTATCCTTCGCTGCTGAAAAATCGGACAAGAAGGAACACACGGAGACAACACAGAGTCCGGCGTTTCATGGTTTTTCTAACAAGGATACAGCCTCGGAAAAAGATCCGCGGAATCCTGTCCCCGGTCATGTTTCTGGGAGAGTTTACAGAAATACAGTTGTCAAAAACGCATCTGAAACAAATAATGACGATGTCAAAGGGGGTTCCTGGACCGTATATCCCGAGGATGATTCTCCTTACGTCTCATACAACGCTACTGCCACAGAAGTCGGAAATTACCAACCATTGTGGCTTCAACCGGACCACGTACACCACGGGGTCAGTGACACGCCGGCCAAGTCCAAGAAAGGCCGCCCAGTAAAAGTTTTGTACATTGGGGGGTTCTTTGAGCTTTCAGGGGACCCTCGCATGGCAGCTATGGGACTGTCCGAAAAGGTCGCGGCCTTAATGGCGATAGACCACATCAATGAACAGGACATTTTGCCGGGATACGAGTTGAGGATGTTCTATGGCGACACAAAGGTGTGTTCTTATTTTGCTCTTGTCCTCTCCTTTCAGCCTCTCTCTCCTTTTCCTCCTAATCTTTTCGATCAAAGCTACCGCATAGAGGTATAATGACAGCCTAATCTTCCTCATGTAATTTTCTGATATTGCATTATTTTGTTACTTTCAGTCATTTTATAGTTCATTTGAACGTAATTTTACCATATAAATCAGAAGAGAATGGAGCATCAAAAGAGACGGCTGAGATTCATAGATTGCCATAATATATAAACTCTCTATATATATACACATACCCCCAAACATAAGCTTTATAATTCCTTCCAACATTGAAGGCAATAATCGCTAGCACTCGAAGGGTACAACGTGAAACAGCTGTGTCTCAAAAGTCAGCTCAACAAACAATTCCGTATGAACACGACAAATAAAGGTACTGCAGGTGAAAATAGCAGGGTGACCCTTGATTCCTAGACAACATATACATGCATCATCGTAACCCATTGAAATAGACATGAAGTATTGCCGTTTCTCCGCCCACAATATCTTTTGATTAAACAAACGTGGGATTTTAATAATTCGTTGAACATGTATGATTATTAACTCCCGACATAAGCTGTTGTTTGAAAAAGTAGAAAATGAATATTTAAACATTTATTTGGGCGTCCTGAATGACTTGTAGCTCCAAGATTCTGGAGTCTTAAGCAATCTTGTTTAGAAGGCTCTTTAATGTGTCAGTTGATTTTGCAACAGGTTGCTGAGCGTGAATTCACAGCTTTGTTGAGTAAAGGCAGATCTAATGCCTAGATCTTTAATGTTATTCGACTTTAGACAAAAGAAGAGGTAAACAGGCAGGTATATAGCCAGCAAATTTCAAAAAGGGTTCTTTTTCTGAAACCTTTTTAACCTCTAACCACCCCCAACTTGATAAATGGCATACAAGGTAGAACCTAGATAAAATTCGATTCAGAGAGATCTTTTTCAACCAAACGGGCGACCCCCCTCCCTCCCCTACGCCCACCCCACCGTTCGCCTACGGGTCAGACAGGAGACACAAAGGATCTTGTCTTTTTGTAGACAGCCAACATTTAAATGTAGCAGTCACAGGAAGATTTCTACATATTGATAATCATTTTAGCCCCCCCCCCCCCCAAAAAAAAAAAAAAAAAAAAAAAAAAAAAAAACCCCCCC